AGGCTCAGCCCAGCTGCAGGCATGGCTCGGATGCTGCGGTGAAATCTCTTTTTCTACACCCACTGATGAATTAGACCTCGGTGAAAAAGGTCGACTGGCCGCATTCCTCAACACTTCCATTGCACCTATGCCTAGGCTAATGTTAAGATCCCCTTTAGAGATTGTGCCCCAGCATTGATGGCGATCTGACAGAGGACTTGAGAAGCAGCAGATCTCAGAATGGGTAAGCCTCAAACTCTTTTTGTCTGACTTGTTGAATTTATCCATAATGCTAGAATACATGCAATTTCACACACATAAATCTCATTTTTCCACTATCGCTCATTTTTGTTCCAACGTCCTTGCTGCCTGTCAGCAGCAGGTTAGTCCATTGAAATGCAGAATGGGTACTTGGAGGGGCAGCGAGAAGGAGGGAGGACAGTCACAAGGCATTTCTTCCTGACCCACCCCCCTTGAGTGACTTAACTAAACACATTTGGCTCAGCATCCGTGTCTCTCCTCCAAGCCATCCTTCCAGTATTGGAAGCAGGGGTTTGAACTAACACCCCACTGGCTCAGCTTCCCAATATGCCCCACTGCTCCCATTCCCTGGCGGCTTGCAGCAACAGATTGCCATGTTTACTCTACCACATGATGCCATTAAAACCTGTTACTGTGATCTCAGACACTAGGACAGAATTAATTATTGAGTAATGACAGAAAATGTAGCTGTCAGGGAGATGGAGGGAATCTCAGTGGCTTCCTGCCCTGCTGGGTTTACTCTGGTTGAAGATGAGCAGAAAGTTACGCAGTGGGTTCGGGCTTGTCTGTCAACAACAGGTCTTTGGATGTTTGAATCCTGCCACCAGTATCATTCAGATGAAATTCTTTGTGGCTCCGCTGTCAGATGGTTTGTGAATAGAGTGAGGGTTCAAAAGCTTTATGGCAACCATCAGTCATGCATGATCTTTATTCTTTCACCAAGGTCATTTTATTGTTATTCATTGTGAAAAATGCAGAGAGTTGACTGCAATATAGCATTAAAACCCAAAGATCAGACAGTAGCCATTGATGATTAGAGTTGTGATGTCTATATAAAGGTTTACCCTTTCTTTCTTTTGCTAGCATGTTCTCAGAAAAATTACATATTGACCGACACCTGACATAGTAGTAGTAAATTTTTAGCTTTCACATAAATGTGGCTATAATATGTTGTGGTATTTGGGATGTTCTCAGCAACCACAGCTAATTAATCTAAATCAAAAGTGAAATTCCTTTACCAATCATGTAATTGTCTGTAAATTTGTCAGAGCCATTGGCTGTGGGTGATGAGCACGAAAACAAGCCCGTGTCTGAATGAAACATGAGGGGCATATTAATGCAATAAGGAGAAGAGCTAACATGTAGACTGTGAAATTCCTTGATGTCACAGTGCCATATGCATTCACATCTGAATCTAATGGCTGCATTACTGAGGCAACAGGTTGGTCTCAGAGCCAGGCAGTCCAGCTCATCTGTCCGTCTTTGCTCCCCATCATGCCGGTCAAGCCCCCACATTCGCTACCTGCCACAAAATATTGGATGCAGCAACATGATGACAGACCCTGTGGCTTTGACATCCACAGCTAAAAATTTGTATCATACTGCATACTACAATGTATTAGAAGCATCATACAAAGATAGACAGTGCCTTTTTACATCTCTACCTGCTTCAGTGATGTCACCCTTGAGGCAGCAGAAAAGGATCGAACATGACGTCATTGCATCGAAATCAGCACGCAGAGGAGAATATCTGTCAGTGCTTTAGTATAGTAAGTCCGCACCTGTACCAGGCACTTAAAATGACATCTTTGATATAATATTTGAAATTTGTTGTGGAATCATAGCGTTCCACATCTGTATATACAGCGTCATATTTTGGATGTCTTGTTGACAGGATCATTGATTTTATCTGGGTCCAGGCTCAATATGTGGTTGATTGCTTTTTACTAGATTAGTGCACTCAATGCTTAGACAAATACTTGGACAAATACTTCACCCACTTTGGCACTGATTCATTCTTAATTAGCATTATAGGAAAAGGAACTTACCTAACTGAAAGGGAGAAACATATTTGGCTGCAAATTCTTCAAGTTGATGTGCTGTCAATCACTGACTGCCACAAGCCACTGTAAGCCACAGAATCCCCTTCCAAAATCGAGGAGATTTAGACCATCTTGGCAGTATAGCCTCAGAACAAATCTGTGGGATTGTTTCCCCATATGTTCTTCTCACGTCTGTTAATCACAAGGATCAATCTGTATTGGCATTCATGAACTGCATGGATATTTGCTTCATATGTTTGCATTTAGTCTGCGGTGTTTAAGTTTCTCTCTCAGAAAATGTGATATACACATTCCAACTGAACATTCTTTTTATTTATATGGGAAGCGTGACTAGTAACACTGGACTTTAGTCAGAGGTTGCTAAACTCCTTGAAAACAGTTAAAATTAGACCACTGCAAGCTGGAAAGGAGGTCATCATTTACTCCACAAGAAAACTGGGACAGGACATAGAACATGTCACCAGTCTCTAATAAAATGTGAATGCATGGAAAACTGCAGAACTCAAAAGGCAAACTCTCCTTCCGGATGCCTTCCTTTCATTAGACACATGATTATGTTATTCCAATTCCAGCTATACATGGCAAAATTGTGTCTTGACATTATGAGGTTTTGCTTGCTCAGGGTACTGGGTGTTAGTGTTAAAGCTGTACTTGAGAAGATGTGACACTTTCCCACTTTGTGTGTTTCTTCTCCCAGAGGAGGGTGAGTACTTCCTGAAGGTGCTGATCCCCAGCTATGCAGCTGGCTCTATAATTGGCAAGGGCGGCCAGACCATTGTACAACTGCAGAAAGAGACGGGTGCCACCATTAAGCTGTCCAAATCCAAAGACTTCTACCCAGGTAAGAATGAACCTATGAATAATTGCGGTCCATTTTAACATTTTAATCCTACATTAAGCCGGCCCCATACTACAGGATAATTAAGCCAATTTTGGGCCCGATTTGCCCATCCTGACAACCGTAGGGGCGGTGTGAGGCCACTCTGAAGTGATTCGCGGGCCAAATGATCCTGTAGTGTGAAGTGTTGAACGGCATAATTGTTATGCTTCCGACAGGATCGGAGGGCCCCCGATATTTAATAGTAACTATCAGGCATGTTTGAAATGTACAACTTGGAATCGTATAGTGTGGGGGCAACAACGATTGGATCCTGACCAGACACCCATAACAGCCAATGATAGTGAGCTGGCCGGGAGGCGTCACAACCGCTTGTAGCATTAGCTTGCACTAGCCTCCTCATTTATTTATTTCCAGCTCACCTTCAGCTCGCACTGCAAAATACGTAAGCCGTGTTGATTTTGTCTTCTCAGCCAAGACTTCATTCATAATTTTTTTCCTCTTTTTTATCTCAAAACATAGCACACATGAGCTCTACTGCGAATGTCCGTCTCTATGTTTGTTTTGTTCTGAAGTCATATTTGATCACTCAAGTTTCTGTGAAACCCGTGGCCCCCGGAATCAGTGTGTCTAAAATGGTTTAGTAAAGATGGCAAGTGTGTGGTCCTTCCTCTTGACTCAATTGTCTAGTGTGTGCTTTTGATTAAAATGTGTCGTTATGTTTGTGGTCTCCCACATTTTTAAAATTGGTTACGATTATAAAATCCTCTAGTGTGAGGCCCAGCTACACTAAACATGCATCTAAATGTTACTGCTGTCAGATGCTGCATTCAAGTCTGCATACAATTTTAGTTTTAATTATAACTGCATGGCTAGCAGGTTGCTTCTTTCATTGCATGGTTCCTTCTTTAGCATTCATGGTTCCATGTTAGTGTGTCAGTCTCTTAGTGTTCTGGAAAAGTTGTACAGGGCTGCCATATTATTCCCACCAAATATGAGCGCATATTTTTGTGATGCAGAGGACACGTACTGTAGCATACATGGAAAGAATGAATTGTGCTGCAGAGGTTCACCCATAAATGGCAACAGGAAAAGGATGCTTGTGTGTCTCGGTGACTGCTATCACATGGAGGTTGAAGCTGTACCATCTTATCCTCCAAGCACAAATCCCTGAGTCATAGACAAGTCTGGGTGTTTGTCCTTCATGCCTCAGAGGAGACTTCAACCTGCTGAAAAATAACAGGTGCTGAGCATCTCACTGCTTATTAGGTCCAGATGTTTATTGTGATAACTGATGCAAGTAAATAATCTCTGTGCAGTGGTACAATTTTTACAGTATATATATTTAGAATATATTATTATCTCTTTAGATAGGAGGTATGTAACACACTACAGATGTTTTCATATTATAGGTTTCACAGTCACTTAGATTCCATTATGCAACTACAAATTGAAAAGAACTAAAGAAAGATTCCTCCCCAAAAGTCAGTTTTCCAGCATACAGTAACAGTTAAAAAGAGAAGAGTCTGTAGATTAATTTTATATACAAAACAAAATATTACTCTAGCAGTGCACATTATAGTTTGAATTTGAGCTGCACTGTCTTGAGTTACAGGTGACATATTGGACTGACTGAACTGAGGCAAAGGATTACTGAGCACTGGGGAAGAGGAGAGGAAAGATGTGATAGCAAACATTTTTCCTGTACTTTTTCTTCCACCACATTACTGTTTGCCTCGATGAAACGGTGCGTGTTCAGACGCATGTTCAGAGTGTTGTTGCTCAAATTCTCCACACGCAGAGGCAGCTATGTTTGAAGGAGTGAATTATGGCTACTTCATTGACACTGGAGCAAATCAACAGAGTGATATGTATCTTTATCTCTGTTTGGATTGTGGATGTGTTCATAGGCCAACACCTGCTCTGCCCATCCCCCTAGTCATTATCGTGATGAGTGAGAAGAGGAGTTCAGGGAGAGGGTGCTGGCAAGGATCTGATTGGGTGGTTGCTCTGGCCCACACAAGTAAAATGAAACGACTGCTACTGTACACTGCACAATAGCTGAGAGTGCTTCCTGAGAAGTCAGTCAGTGCTACACTTTTAAAAAACTATTTAAGCTCAACCAGCTTGGTGAAGTCGGTAACAGCAACATATAGGTAGTAATACAAAATTCAGTTCTTAATTTTAGAGGCTAACAATGCAGCATGTCAGACTTAACAGCTACTTCTGTTTTACTTTCTTTCAGTGTTGAATCAGGTGTGATTTGGGCTAATATAGCATGCTAATACCATTATACACAGTTCATGCCCTCATCTTTGATCCTGTGGCAGCCTGAGCACACCCTGACTATAGCACAATCGCACACTAGAGAAATCAAGGGACAACAGCCGATGCTGCCATTTTCTTCTGCAATTCTCTCCTTGACGGCTCGGTCTGATACTCCCACCCACCTCACATCTCCCATCCGTCAGTGTAAAACATGAAACCGTGAATTCACAGGTCTTGACAGGAATTGTACAACTACGTCCTGCTGTGGAGGACTGAGATGGATGAGTGGAGACAGGGAAGGGTGTGGATGATGCATGGTTGTATGTGAGCGAGGGGACAGGAGGGCAGACCCAGAAATAGCCTGTTTCAATCTCTCTCTGTGGACATGACCCTTCGCCCAGCTGTACTCAAGCTGCTCCAACTCATGCCAAGTTTCCTCTGTCCTCCTCCCTGCTCACTGTTTCTTTCAGATTTGGTTCCCAGTAGTTGAGAAACTTCAGGCCAGATAGGATTACATCACACTTTCTTAAAAATGATTTTGCATGCTATGCCTCTGAACACCTGGGTGCTGACTTTTTTAGTTTTTAATATTTGGTTTGAACCTATCTGAATTACTACATAGCTGAAACTGATTACTTGAGCCCCCTTAAATGCAGCACACTATGCATTCACCCACTCATACTGTGCATTCAGCACATACACACACCTACTCACACCTACTTACACACATTCGCACATTTAAGCAACTGCAAAGACGAGTCGTGGGAGTTGACGATTTGAACACAGACTTAGAAACAGAGCTTCAAGTCTTTGCTTTGTGCAGCTGGTTTACTGCCAAGTACATGTATTGAGTTACTTTGTAGTACACAAACAGATGAGGTTGTTGTGATGTCATAGAAACACTGGGAGTGTTTTCCATTAAATGATCATTACACTATCAGTAACAATCAGTAACAATATGTGACTGGAAAGCACCATTATTTCATAGAAAATAAGCTGAAGTAGTATTGCCTTCAAAAAGGAGCAGACAGAAAAAACTCCAACCATAACACACCAGTTGTTTTCAATCATACCTCCATATGCAGTATTTGCTCAGTACATACTTAGCAGTATTCTAAAATACACTCAACTGGTAGTTTATTAGGTAGGAAGATGTAGTTTTATGGTGTTACTGAACTATATTGTGTTATACTGATGGTGTTTCTATTATTTTGTCCATCCCATTTATATCAAAGAGGCTAGGATAACTAACAGAAACAGCTCTCTGTACAATGCCACACAATTCAACATCAGCACTACAGTAACTTCAGCCATACAGTTGAATCAACAAGGCACCAAACATCAGTACATTTTTGAGTTAGACAAACTTATTTTATTAAGTTTAGGTTTTGGGTTCATCCAACTTAGAAGCTTTACTTCTTTTAACATGCTCAAAGTTAGTTGAACATGTTATTTTACATTATTACAACTCAGAATTTTTGCTTCTGTCAATGGGTGTACTCACACAAGGCAATCCATACTGTGCTCGAGCACATTTGACCCCCAAAATGGAGTTCGCTTGACTAGTGTGATTGCTCAGTGCCATCCCCAGGCACAGTTCAGTGTACCGTGGCCTGGCCCAATTAAAGAGTTGGGCCTGGGAACAGTTCAGTTGGGTTCGAGCACGGTACACTGTAATGTGATTGCTGACCATGCCTGGACACAGAACATCAATGGTATCTACTATGCCAGAGCTCTTGTCTTCAACTGCATCTGCTGACATAAGTGTGCTCCATTGCGAATTGTTTCATGTGCAGTCTGAGTGCAGGCCAGCAGGGGAGTGGGGGGGGGCAATAATGCTCAGGCATGGAGGCAACTGTGTCTAGTGTGAGGACACCCTTAAGCAAAGCTAAAGTAACTTAAATATTTTAGCTGTGTCCTTTCAGAAGTCTTGGTTTGTATCTAAGTTTGGATTCTTTAGTAGTTTTATTGGAAATCATGATATCATGGCAGATAAGATGTGCTTGGGATCATTGGTCTTTGAAATCACCCCCAAGACCAGTGCAGGATGTGCCTGACATGGAGATCTTTCTTCTTCATGTATTTCAAAGATTTCATTTTGATTAGAAAGAAAACTTTCTGGCTCCTCTGAGACAGATGCATGAAGACAAACTTAGTGGCTTCCATCAGGTAATTTTTGTAAGGCCACATGAAGTTTGGAGGTCTGTAGCTATTGACTCTGCCGAAAGCTGGTGACCTCTGTGCACTATGTGTCTCAGCATCCGCTGACCCAGCTCTGTGATTTTACGTGGCCTACCACTTCATGGCTGAGTTGCTGTCGTTCCCAATTGCTTCCACTTTGTTATAATACCACTAACAGTTGACTGTGGAATATTTAGTAGCGAGGAAATTGCACAGATGGCATCCTATCACGGTACCATGCTGGAGTTCACTGAGCTCCTGAGAGCGACCCATTCTTTCACAAATGTTTGTAGAAGTGGTCTGCATGCCTAGATGTTTGATTATATACACCTGTAACCATGAAAGTGATTGGAACACCTGAATTCAATGATTTGGATGTGTGAGTGAATACTTTTGGTGTATATGTAAATAAGCTAACAATCTGTCTAAATAACTTAAACTAATGAATCAACGAAACAATTCATTCTATATTTAGTCAACTGAACTCATGATTTTAAGTTACACCAAGTATATTTGTTTCCTGTATTCTCCAACTAAAGATGACAACTTAACAG